CCCCCCCATTTTCCCCTCTATTTCTCCCCCCCCGTTACTCTGGGAATGGACCCCCCCGGAAGGGTGCGGAAATGGGCTCGCCCTGGGAGCCCCTCCGGCTGGAAAGTACCAAGTGCGGGACTTCTGGGGGGGGGAATAGAAAAATGGAATGGGCCACTAAGGGCGGAAACGGGGAGAAGAGAAAGGGCCAAAATGGCTGAAAAAAAGGAGGAATCTTTCCCTTTGGCGTCGTCACAACAAAACGCCTCCCGCAAAATAAGGGGGGCTTCCCTTCCAATTGGCGTCGTCACAACAAAACGCCTCCCCCAAAATAAGGGGGGCTTCCCTTCCAAAGAGAATGGGAGGTCGTCCCGTTGTTCTTCTCCCCCATCCACAAAGGAGGAACCAATCTCTCCTCTCCCCCTGCGGGGAAAAAAATAGTCTCGCCCGCGGCAGAAAAGGGGACTGGCGAGCAAGGGAAGGGGGGGTGAATGCGCGGAGAGGGGCCGCCCTCGTCAGCCGCAGCCTCCCGCAATCTTTCCCTTTGGCGTCGTCACAACAAAACGCCTCCCGCAAAATAAGGGGGGCTTCCCTTCCAATTGGCGTCGTCACAACAAAACGCCTCCCCCAAAATAAGGGGGGCTTCCCTTCCAAAGAGAATGGGAGGTCGTCCCGTTGTTCTTCTCCCCCATCCACAAAGGAGGAACCAATCTCTCCTCTCCCCCTGCGGGGAAAAAAATAGTCTCGCCCGCGGCAGAAAAGGGGACTGGCGAGCAAGGGAAGGGGGGGTGAATGCGCGGAGAGGGGCCGCCCTCGTCAGCCGCAGCCTCCCGCGCCCTCTCTCCCTTCCCAGAAATGGCGGCGGCGGCGGCAGCGAAGGATCTTCGTCACAGGTCGGAGCCGCCGTCGCGACTGCGTTTCCTCCTTTGCGCAAATTCTTTCTCTCCCCCCCCGGAAGAAAATGGTCTCGGCCCAACGTCCATAGGACGCGGAGGAAGAGCCCAATCGTCGTTCGGAGGGGGGGTGATCGGAAGAAGGCACGGGGAAGCCGGCCACGTGGAAAGGCCGCAGGGGAAAAAAAGGCCGGAGAGGAAAATGAGAAAAGGAATCGGCGACGCTCGGCGGCCGAAATCCTTTCGCGGGAACGAGGAAAAGGCAAAGCATCCCGTTTCCGCTCCTCCCCTCCGAAGGAATGGTTTGGTCCGCAGCTTGAGGCCTGTGAGGGTCTGGCGCGGGCCTAACCGAGGCGGCGACGGCGACGAGGGAAAGAGAGAGGCCTGCCTGGCGCTCGCTCGCTGGCTCACTCACCGGCTCTCTTGACTCGCAGACATTCTGTGGAGAAAGATCCTAGCCCCGCCCGCCTCCTGCCTCCTTATAATAGCCGCCTAAGCCCGCCCTCCACTCCCGCCTCCATTGGCCGCCTGGCAGAGGTCTTCCCGCCGTAATCGCTCCGCCGATTGGTCCGAGCCCCCTTCGATCAGAACGACCGGCTTCGCTCCCATTGGCCGGCCCCATCTCCTCCTGACGGGCAGGCGATCTCGTCATGGCTGACGATCGCGGGCGCCGATTGGACGGGGAGGGAGGGGGTTTCGGACGTCCCACCCTTGGTGACGCTAGACGTGCGGGCCTGGCGAAAGAGGAGAAGGCGCGAAGGGCGGCGTGACGCAAACGGCGGGAGGCGGGAGAAAGGAGTTTCCGCCGCTGCCGATTGGCCTGGGGCGTCGTCTGTTCGCGCAGGGCGGGGAGAGCGTGGCCAATGGGGGGGCGAGAAGCTTCAGCCGGAGGACCGGGCGCAAGGTCCACGTGGTGACGAGGCCACCCTTTGTGGGGGATGGGAGGCTAGACGCCACGTGATGGGGCCACTCAGGGAGGGGCGCGCGAAATGGCCCCTCCCAAAAGCAGGACCGG